TTTAGGAGTATGATCTAAGGTAAGACCACGAGAGTGTGAATCGAGGGTTTTTAAACTGATAAGTACTACAGAACAATTTAAGTTAAATATTTTTATATGCTTAGATACAATTTAATTCGCATAGGTTCAAAACATTACACTCCGACCACTTTAATATTATAATTCTTTTAATTGAATTTAGTTTCTCCTTTAGTTTAAACTTCTAAAAACCAAACGTGACAATTTCCGCCTTAGCTAAACTAACATGTTTCATAACACTAAAGTGATTACGAAGTCCCTGTGGGTTCGACATCCTTTTATTACTACCGCGATAGACTGTGCACTTGCAGTTAAGATACCGTTAGACACATTAGGTCAATCCCACATCATTTATCAAGTTTAAATCTATGGTCAAAAGACAAAGTGGTCGAAAGATCAATGTTTTGAAAACTGATGGTGGTGAAGAATATGTGTTGAAGGACTTCGACAAGTTATATGAGAAAGAGGGGATTATGCATGAGGGGGTTCCACCCTACACTCCACAGAAGAATGGAACTGCAGAAAGGAAGAATCGAACCATCATGAATATGATGAGAAGTATGTTGAAAGGCAATCATTTACCTAAAGAATTTTGGGGTGAAGTTGTGTCAACTGCAACATATATTTTGAACAGATGTCTAACGAAGAAGCTAGAAGAAATTACTCCAGAAGAATGTTGGTCTGATACGAAGCCTAACTTAAGTCATCTGAAGGTATTTGGATCTATAGCACATAGACATGTGCCAGATCAGTTGAGAAGAAAACTTGATGACAAGTCAAGTCAAATGGTCCTAGTAGGATATCATTCGACATGAAATTACAAGTTGTTCGACCCAGTGAATAAGCAGATTGTGATCAGCAGAGATGTGATCATAGATGAGCTTAGGGAATGTGATTGGACAGAAAATGTCAAGAAAGATTCAATAAGAATCTTATTTGAAGAAATGACAGTTGAAGTCGAAAAGGAAGTTCAACAAGACGAACCAACAATTATAAATCAATCAGGTACAAGCAGACCTCAAAGAACAAGACACATGTCTTGCAAGGTTGCAAGATTGTGTGATTACATCATATGATGTGGTTGATAACGAAGGTGACCTGGTACATTATGCTTTCTATGCAGATGTCGAACCAATCAATGCAGTTGAAGAATTGAAGGATTCGAAGTGGGTGAAAGCAATGAACGAAGAAGTGAAGTCCATCGAAGACAACAACACTTGGTCACTTGTCGAATTGCCTCAAGGCAAGGAAGTTGATGTCAATTGGGTATAAAAGTGAAGATGAATCCCAAAGGGAAAATAACTCGACACAAAGCGAGACTCGTGGCAAAAGGATTTCTCCAGAAAAAAGGAATATACTTCGATGAAGTTTTTACACCTGTGGCTAGGATCGAAACAACCAGGTTGGTTGTTGGTCTAGCAAAAATAAACAGTTGACACATATGTCAGATGGACGTGAAGTGTTCATTCCTGAATGGACCCTTAGACGAAGAAATTTATGTTAAACAACCAGTTGGGTTTGTGAAACATGACGAAGGGAGAAAGGTGTACAGACTACATAAAGCCCTATATAGATTGAAACAAACTCCAAGAGCTTGGAATAAGAAGATTGATAATTTCCTAAGGGAGAAGGAATTTGTGAAGTGCACAACTGATCATGGAGTATATGTAAGAAGAAATAATAGTGAATTGCTTATAATATGTCTCTATGTCAATGATTTGTTGATAACAAGTAGCTGTAAAAGTGAGATTGAAGACTTTAAAGGTGATCTCAGCGAGGAATTTGAAATGTCTGATCTGGGAAACATTTCATAATTTCTTGGCATCGAATTCTACAAGAGCAGTAGAGATTTGATGATGCATCAAAGAAGATATACATGAGAAATTCTCAAGAGATTTGAGATGGAAGAATGCAACTCGACTTCGACACCTACAGAACCAAGACTGCAACTGTCGAAAGATTCAAAAGATGATGTCGATCCAACCCAATACAGAATACTTATTGGGTCATTAAGATACCTTTGTCATACGAGACCAGACTTAGCATATAGTATAGGTATGATAAGTAGATTTATGCATAAGTCAAAGGTATCATGCCTAGCAGCGGCGAAGAGGATACTAAGGTATCTCAAAGAAACTCTTGACTATGGCATTTTGTTTCCTGCATCTGATAAAGGAAAAGAATGCAAGTTAGTGGGATACACTGATTCAAGTTGGTGTAGTGATGCTAAGGATCAAAAATCTACAGCAGGATATGTGTTTATGCTAGATGGTGCACTAGTTACTTGAAATTCGAGAATGGAACCATTAGTGACATTATCATCATGTGAAGTAGAATACATAACTGCATCTCTTAGTGCATGTCAAATAACTTGAATGGTGAATTTAGTCGAAGAGATAACAAGGAAAGATCATGGACCAATTACCATGAAGATTGACAGCATGCCAGCTATCAATCTGGCGAAGAACTCGATAGCTCATGGTCGAAACAAGCACATCGAAATGAGGTTCCACTATCTTCGAGAGCATGTAGAAGAAGGGAAGATAAACTTGAAACACTGTAGAACTGAGAATCAGATTGCAGATATCATGAGGAAGTGAGTGCATGTCGAAATATTTAGAAGACTAAAAGCCATGATGAATATAGATAGTTTAGACACAATGAATTAGGTGGTATGTTAAATTGTAATTCTTGTATGTTGAAACTATATGTGTTGGAGGGTTAAAGGTTGTCGAAGCAGGTTGCTCGATGGAAACTATTGCCTAGTCGAAGAGCTTATGGATCGAAGCAGACTACACACACAAATTAGATTTGGTTTTAGATTTAGATTTGATTTAGGACTAAAATAGATAGATTGATTTAGTTTCAAAATAGGTATTTTGGGTTTTGACTTAGGGAGCAAGCTAGCTTAAATCTATAAATAGATAGGATAACCCCTATTTTTGTAACCAAGTCAATTAAGTTGTATTCACATGATTTGCAGTTGCAAGTGAATAAGAAATTTTGCATAATTTATGGGCAGAGAGAAACTCTGCAGAAAATCATTGACTTTCTTTCTTTCATATTTTTCATCGTTATTGTGTGGTAATAACAATCTTGTTCATCAAGATTGATAGAAATTTATCATAGCAATTGGTGGATTTCCAACATTCCCCTTCCTCATTTTCAGAAATAGTTTGAAAAGTAAAACACTTAACACACAAAATCTCAACCCTCTCAAACTTCATTGTGTCAAAATCAATCTATTTCACAAAAAAAAATCATCAGGAATCATCAAACACTTACACTTCAGTGTTCAAACAGATTCAAGCAACCAAAATCATCATTTATAAGTTATTTTTGAGCTTTTTGCAGTTTATGTAATTTTACCTACAACTTGTGTTTTAGGGTAGAAAATTCAAGTTTCTTTAGTGTTTGCAATGTTAGGAGTCATAAGAAATGTGTTAGGTATGTCTTTTTTACGACGAAGGACCATTTTTTTGAGGTCATTGGGGATGATCTTTGCCATTGACGAAGCTGCAAAGTTATAGGTCGTACCGGATATGCATTACTGATTTTATTCAAGCAAAAACCGAAAATGCATATCCAATTTTAGTCTGACTACATTTTTCATTTTTTTAACCTGAGTATTATTGTTAACATTTGATTCGTTCTTCTACAGGAGTAATGACAGAGAGACCATCTAAATTGAGACACGTCGGGCTTATACATCATGCTTATGTGCGCAGGGAAATGAGTCAGACATCCCAGAATCCTTCTGCCCCTGGATAGGCTGTGCCAGATGCGTCAACAGCCTCTAGTGTTCCTGTTTCTACACCTACTTCATCATTATCCCGTAGTAGGAGAGGTTCTCCAGTTCATCCCTCCCCGCCTCCATCCTCCCGTAGACGTACTTCATCATCGATAGTATTTAAGGCAGGAGAGATATCTGGTTCCCAATCGACACCCACTATAAGAAAACATTGTTTTAGCATCGGCCAAAAACCCTTGCACACACCCTAAAGAACGCCGCTAATGGGTTCTAGCGACACACAATCGAAGCAAAGTCTTGCAACTATCCATCACTGCCATTAATGACGATTTAGCCAAACGCTAAAGGGTCGCTAATTACTTCGAGCGGACGCTACAACACAATTATGGTTAATTGTGTGTACAACGTAGTGTCAGCGGTAATCAATACTATTGATAACGTAGTTTTAGATGTACTCAACACTATTGTCGTGTGTATAGTGCTTTAGAGTCGGTCCAAGGCGACACAATGTTTTGCAATTTAAAACTGTAGCGACGTTTAGAGCCGACGCTGTGTATAAATTTCCTTAGTGACCTACTTACTAGCATTGGTTAGTAGTGACATTATAGCATTGTCCACCTGTCATTAGCGACACTTTGTTGAGTCATTAAAATTATAATTATAGTCAATAAGCGTCGATTTTTAGACACTAATTTTATAATTAGTCTATCAACGTCAGTTTCAAGCGACGCAACTTTTTTTTTTGTAACCTGCACCTAATTGAAATTGACACCTGATTTTAATTTCTCAAACTACCAAAACCTGTTTAGGATAAATGTAAAAACATACTTTCATTGTAGAACAAGTGGACAACAATTTGCATAAGCTAATATTTAAATTTATGTCTCCCGTCCATCTAACCAAAGATCAATGTCACAAAAACAGCTCATCAATCAAAACACCTCATAATCCAATATCCAAACCAGATGTAAGACAGGTCAAAATTAGTTCAAGCAAGTAACAACCAGTTCAATCCATATCCAGTACACACAAAAAAACTAGTCTAAGTTCACACAAGACCAATTCAGAAAAAATCAGAAACAACACAAAAGGAAAAAACAAGAATGGGAGAAAATAGAAAAGTACAGTTGAGCAAAAATTAGAATAAAACAAAAAAACTCTGAAGTACAACTCACCAGCTGACTTAATCATAAAAACTTGTAAATTGAAGATAAGCACCTCCTTGAAGTGATCAATCCAATAAGAAGCAAATTGAAAAGCGAGGATGATTGCTATTCTTTTCCAACTGCAACAAAACAAAAGACTTGTAAAGAAAAATGGCAATGTAATGAAGGAGGAGGATTCACATGAATAAATAAGCACAAGTGCTCATCCATCAAGCAATCAATAAAGCTACTACTTATCATACAAAAAAATTGTGAACCCTTTTCCGTAGTAGTGTGTATACCATGTTTGATCAATTCTTTGGGAAATATTGTCCTTAAGTAGTTTAACTACCTTCTTTGTTACTCTCATTCCTAAGGTGGAGACACCTTTGGAGTTGGGGATTTTAGGTCTATATCCTATCTTGCGCACAAGTGCCATACCATAATTTTGACACTCAAACATTTAGGTATTAGTTAATCGAGCATTCATGCATTCTATTTATGTTTTGAATTCAAACAAATTCATCCAGTAGTCATTTTGGTTTGCATCATATCATGGTCATTAGGATCTCATCTTCATACAAAGGTTAAAGTCAATATACTCTTAAAGACCATTTTTCTAAATTCACTTCATTTCATTCTATCAGAACATTCATGCATTATTTTGGTTAAGTTCAATTTGAATTCTACCAAGAGTGATTTCATTTTCTTCCCACCAAGTTAAAAATTTCATTGATTCATTTAAAGGATATTTGAATTCCAAAGCATTGATATATCATCATGTTGTCGTTCTTAGGTTACACATTTATTTTGAGCCAAAACATGTTGAAAATTTGATTTTCATGAATCAAGTCAATTTGAATTTAAGATCAAGTTTTACAAGATGAACAAAAAGAAACTTGAAACTGAATTGAGTTCCACATCCATTTGCATTCACTAACTTGAGATAAAAAGCAATCAAATACAAATTAATTTTAAATGCAATTTTTCTCATACAAGAGAAAGCCGCGATTTTTCTCCAACTCATTATAATCCAATAAAACTCGAAAAAACAAAAAAGCAAGTGAAGTTGAATTTTATTGCAAGCCACGTCTTTTCTAATCATTCACATTTCAATTGAAATAAGATGAATCAAAAGTTCTGATTAATACAAAGAACAAGGTTAAAACAACTAGGGGTCCAAACCAAATGTGAAATAACAGAATTGACACTTTTTAAACTTGTTTTTTTGAGCTTTTGACTTATCATTTTTCACATGTACAATCCAAAATTGAACAAAACCAAAAAATGCATACAAATTGATCGTACACATGGTTTTTGTACACAATTTTCACACCTCCACTCAATTTAAATCAAATTCAAATAAACAAAAAAAAAGGAATTAAACTAAGTGGACAAATTTAAAATGAAAAATGAATTATGAATTTTAAATTTGAATTGCATTACATTTTGTTGTACTGTTGCATTGGAAGGGAATTAAAATTCTCATTTGCACATGCTAAAGAAAACAAACTCTCGGATTCCACAACCCCTCATCCTACAAAGTCATGAATTTACAACCTCACTACAACAAAATCACTCATAACAAAGATATCTCTCCTCTCCTAACTCAAATGCCAACCCTTAAGCAACATCAATTTTAAGAACCACATGATTTCTACAACACAATAAACTTATATTAAGGACATGTGTATCAGTGCAAATTTCACTTCCCCTTTCATTAACAAATGCACATATGAAACCATCACCACATAACAATTCAGACACATATTTTCTGAACACACAATCAACAATAAATAACAATAACAACACTTCAGCAACATAACCAACATTGAAAGGCTTAAATTTTCACATCTCAAAGTAAACATTAATGGGATCTAGAAATGTTCAGATCATCATTAACATTGCCAGAAAACATTCTTAATATTTCCAAATAATACAAAAAAAACACTAAAATTTGCCGAATTTTTCATAATTAATAATGACATAACAAACATTACAAAATATGTAAACACAGTGGATAAATAACCTAAAAAGGAGCAGCAAAGTAAGCAAACTAAACAAAATACAAAAAATACCTTCTCAGGATTCAACTTCACAACTACATCAAGATCACTGCTCTCCAGACCATCCTTCACCTGAAAAGCTCTCGTCTTAAACGAGTTGCACTGCTGACTGAAACAAATTAAGTAAAATACGATTACAAAATTCACAATCATAACAATTTCATAATCATAAACATTATCTATGAATTGCTCAAATCTTCCCATTATCAAGAATAGAGGGCATACCTTTTCTTTTAGGATCTTATGCAACCGTTGCTGTCACGAAACTTAACTAATATGACACCAAAAACAGGATGAAAACCTAAATCGTAAAACTAAGATGAAACCTAAACTAACTCCAAAACAAACTTACCCTTTCAAAGAATCGAAGATTGAGAGCTGTGATTGAGAGATGAAGTTAGATGAATCGTTACCCTTCCAAGAATCAAAGAATCGCAAAATCGAATATTGGAAACAAACTACCCTTTCACCGAAGAAATAGTGGAAATCAAAGAATCGAAGATTAGAATAGAGGAATCGAAGAATCAAAGATTGGAATAGAGGAATCGAAGAATCGAAGCACCGTGAGAGAATCACATAGAAACGATGGAATAGAGGAATACAGGAATGGAGTGCTAGGGTAATTGTGTTTACCCTTTCATCAGATTTTTTTTATTTTTTTATTATTATATAATCTTATTTTACCAATTACCAATTATATTTTATCAATTACATTATTTACCAATTACATTTTATTTATTTTATTATTATATAATCTTAATTTTATTTTATCAATATGATTTTATTTATTTTATAATTTTTAGTTTTACTTTTAATTTATTAATTTATGTTTTTATTATATTAATTTAGTTGTACTTTTATTTTATCTTATTAATTATAGATATTAATTATAATTTAAAAAAAGGAGCCAAAGGAAATTAAAAGGGGAAGTCAAAAAAATGTGCATCAATACTAGCGTCGGTTCACACCGACACTAACAATAAAAAGAGGCAAACGAAATTAAAGAGGAAAGTCAAAAATTTCCGCACCAATAATAGCGTCATCAAAATTGACTCTTATAATAAAAGACATAAATTTAATCTTTAAAAATAAAAAAGGAGGCAAACGAAAATTGTAGGAGGGAAAAAACTTTTAGCATCAATATTAGCATCGGTTAAAGGTGTCACTATAGGGATGTCAATGGGGCGGGGCGGGGCCGGGGGGACACTTCCCCATCTTTTTCCCCGCCATCAAATTCATTCTCCGTCCCCGTCCTCGATCTCCGTCACGGGGGAATTTCTATCCCCATCCCTGTTCCCCGCGGATCCCCGTTCCCCGCGGGGATCCCCATAGATCCTACATTTATTCATTAATATTTTATTTTTTTAAAATGTTTATATTTTCTATAAAAATAAAAAGCACGAAGAATTCACATATTTATTATGTTATTAAAAAATACTCGTATTTGACATTTATTATTTTTTATTAAAAATACTAATGGAACACAAAATAATAATATTTTTTTTATAAATTTCTATAAAATGCTATAAAATTCAACAAAATGAACTATAATACTTTTTAAAGTAACAATATGCCTAAACAACTAAAAAAATCCAACAACATAATTATGCTTTAAAAACTATACTTCATCAAAACTAATAAGGGATAATTATAAAATTTAGCATCATGAGTATGCTTGAAAAGCTAAAAAAATACTTCATAATAAGTCAACTAAAAGCAAAAGTCAACATATCTCTATTTGCTCAATTGATAACACACGTAAAGTAGAAATATCAAAATACTTAAAACAAAGTTACATATAAATAAACTAAAATATTAAGCAAAATATCCAAACAAGTAATGATCAATCATGTCTCTCTTTCCAACTTCTCCTTGCAAGGTCTTCTTCCTCATTCCACAATTAGATATGACTTTCTTTTTCCTACGAAAAGTAAACAATCAATAATTATATTTACTTAAAAAAATACTTTAAAAACTAAAAGGTAATCAACACTAATATGTAAATTACCTTATTATCATCATCATCATCATCATCCATATCTTCATCCACACATTCGAATTGAGTCAACGTTTTTGAATAACCTAAGAAACAAATAGCTAAATTAAAATTTAAAAATCATTTTCAATTAATCTTGTAAAAGATAAAAATATATTACCTTTTATATCTTTTCGGATCCAATCTTGAGTGCACATCAAAGCCTCTAAAGTGTCTTCCTTCAACCTACTACGTTGTTGACTTAAAACACGACCACTAGTACTAAAGGCGGACTCTGAAGCAACGGTAGAGATAGGAATTGCTAAAAAGTCCCTTGCAATCTTTGGCAAAGTTGGAAATTTCAAATCATTTTGTTTCCACCATCCTAAGATGTCAAAATTTTCCTTTTTTTGTTTATCAAGCAAGTCACCATCTTCCAAGTAGGAAGTAAATTCTGACTTGACATTTGTAGTTGAAGTATTTTCCATCACATATTCCGAATAAGCCTTCTCCCAATCTTGACTTGTGACATCAATGTCATCTACCAATGTTGATGCACCAACTTCACTACTTGTAGGAACCATATCATTATTTGGTTGATATTCTTCAACTAAATCTTCACACATTTGTATTACCTTTTCCAATTCTTTGGGAGCATTATTCCCATACATAAGTGGGAAGAAGTAATTCAACAAAGTTATTTTATATCTAGGATCCAAAACAGCCCCTATTGCCATCACCCCATTAATCAAACTCCAATATTTGTCAAACTTCACTATCATACTTCTTGCCATACTTTGTATAGTATCACTAGAAGAATCTTCCCACTTTCTTAAAGCTAATCTTATTTGACAAACTTTGGGAAAATAAATGTTTGATGTTGGATACTTAGTACCCGAGAACAACTCAGTGACACTAAAAAATAATTTCAACTTGTCACAAATTTCTCTTGCCATTTTCCAATCTTCTTCACTTGGTGCACACTTATATTGGGAATCACGGCGTTGTTTTAAACGTTTAAAAACTTGTTCGTAAGACAATGCAGAAGCAAGCATTAAATAAGTAGAGTTCCATCTTGTTCTACAATCTTGTGCAAGCTTCTTTTCATAAGTCATGTTCAATTGATTACAAGTTTCTTTAAATTTCTCCTCCCTCTTTGGTGTTGCTACCCAAAAACCGACACTTTCCCTAATCTTTTCAATTGAACTAGAAATTGTTTGCATGCCATCTTTCACTATCAAGTTTAATATGTGGGCGCAACAACGCATATGAAACAATTTCCCTTTTAAAATAAAAGAAGAAGGTGACATCTTATCAATCAAATGGTCAATCAGAGCATCATTGGTGCTACAATTATCAACGATTAATGTTGACAATTTTCTATCAATATTCCAATCCATCAAACAATCTACCAAAAAATCACAAATGACCTCAGCAGTATGTGGCGTAGGGACATAAATGAACCTAAAAATAAATTATAATAAATATCACATAAAATAACTATATTATAATAATAACGTAAATGGAAGGGAGAAGTTACCTGATGATCCGATTCTGCAAAATCCAATTTTCATCAATGTAATGAGCTGTAACAGACATATATCCTTTGTTCTGGTTGCTAGCAGTCCACATATCAGTAGTTATTGCAATGCGGCTTTTATTCTTTGCAAGTATTTTCATTTGCTTTGACTTCTCACTTTCATACAACTTCATTATATCATTCTTCATGGTGTTGCGAGAAACTATCTTGAACAAAGGTTGAAGAGAATGGCTATAATTTCTAAAACCAATATGGTTAACCATCATGATGGGATATTCATGCAATATAATCATCTTCGCGAGTTCATTCCTAGAAACATCTTGATTAAATGTATAATTTCCAACCACAAATGATTCATGTCTGTTTCCGGATTTTTTTTTGTCACTTTAAGCATGGCTTATTTTGGACCTCTCTCTGTGCGTTTTGGACATATGCTAATATGATCAAATAAATGTTTAGTACCATTTTTTGTATCACCACCAATTTTCTTATCACAAGATTTGCATATAGCCTTCCAAATACCTCCTATTTTTTGCCTTTTAAAATAGGGCCAAGCATCTGATTTTAATCCCCTTTTGTTAGGACTTGTAGTGGGTTCAACGGGAGCTTCAGGATCTTGATTTTCTATATTTATTTCATTTGGAGTAGATTGAACTTCCTGTGTGAGTGAAACTCCACTACTTTCTATAGGAACTTCATTCCCTTCCAAAGCAACATTAGGACTATTAGATGATTGAACTTCACCAACCATTCTTTTACGAAAAACCTGGCACACACAAACACAAATTTTAAAAGGCTACATGGAAGTAGAACAAAAATAATAAATATATGAAAAAATAATAAATAAATGAAATAGTAAATACATGAAATTCACACAAAAAATAATTAATAAGAAAAATCTTATATTTCTAAATATATGATGCATTACACATATTTCTAAATATGCCTTATTTACTGTAACTTTTCAATTAGAAATAATAACATATATTAATTAATTATATACATTGAGAATACATTTATTTACCTATATACATGATATATTTACTCGTGTAAAAAGTTATATGTTATTATTTCACTTAATGGCTTTGGTTTTATAATTAGAAATATAAGATTTTTTTTTATGGGTGATAGCATGATATATTATTGTTTATATGTTATTATTTCATTAATAATTAGAAATATAAGATATTTGGTTTTTTTTTATGGGTGATACCGTGATAGCATGATATATTGATTCATTTAAAAAGTAATATTTTTTTGTTTAATATAGAAAATTAAATTATAGTGTGATATATTAATAAAAAATAGGAAAAGTATATTTTAATATTTTTTAAGGAAAAACTGACGACATTATTTTAATTACAAATGCATAGTATAGATAAAAAATGAACACAAAAATATTTAAAAGGAGATAAAAATGAGTAATTTTTTGATTATTTTATATTTTTTTAATATGCAAATGATTTGATAACTCTAAAATTTCTAAACAATTTAATTTTAATTTAATCAAAATAATCAACTTTTCCTATAAGCAATTACATGAACAGGTTTATGAGAATCAAGGAGAAACAATCTACTTTTTTCTATAAACAATAATATAAACATATTTATGAGAATCAAAGAGAAATAATCTATTTTTTCCTATAAATAATTACATGAACAAATTTATGAAAATCAAACTTTATTGAT